TCCAACCTAATAGAGATGGCCTCCAAAGAAGGGTGGCAGAGTCTGATGTCTGATTGAGAGGACCTCACAAAATCTTTCACAACGATAGGGTCAATTCCATGGATGGCACCGGAGGCAGAACCGGCATGGGACATGCTCTGGTTGTACGTTGTTTGTGATTGTTCCTATCGTTCCTAGTAGCGATGGCCTCCCCCTAGCAGGGTCCTTGTTCCTATGTGAAATGACGGAAGGCTAGACAGCACCCAAAACCCTCCGAGCTGTTCAGCACATGATTCTGTAAGACTCGTGCTTTTTGGACAATCGAAGACTGCCTTTGGCTGGATGAATTCCCGGTTTGGGTGCAGAATTGTGCAGAAGCAGAGCGCAGGTCATTTTGCAACGTGATGGATATGGGCGGAAGGCATGGCATGCATGTGTTCTTTGTCGCGACATGCATTTGATCAGTAGGCAATGCAATCATTGATTAGATTTGTCCATCTACACCAAAAAGAAGAAACGAAACGGAAGACATCAGCGTTTCATCAACGTTTTCATATCTTTTCATCAACGGTTCATCCGAACCCTCGGGGAGAGATTTGCACGGCCCCCGCGATCTGCTGGTGACGGTGGGAGCATCGCAAGCTCTTGACAAACAGTGCAAAACAGGGATATGTTATGTTTTCTTGAAAGCCCGTCCTTAATTAAGTAGGTGCCTACTTAATTAAGTAAGGGAGAAGTAAGCTACTAGCAATAGAAAGCTCCTACACAGTCCAGGAATGTAATCCATCCTTTAATCTGTTCGAACCTTTCGGTAAACCCTTTACCTGCCAGTCCAACCTTCCGCCCAAACCAGTGTTTTTCTACCAGGACCATCCTGTCTGGGTGTCCTGGCTGGACCCTACAGCATCTCCAGATCTCCAGCCAGGACACCCAAAAAAGATGGTCCTAGTCCTGCGATATCCTAGGTATGTTTCTACTTATGCACTATGTTTGCAATGTTAATGTTTGTATTAGTTTTTCTCCTCCTATGGTACCATTGGATGGTCCAGGCACCATGTGGCTGTGGAAACCCACAGCCCGAACTCCTGGTATAGTGGTTTGTTCTCTTCATTTTCGGGGGTCAACCAAGGTGGACCCAAGGTCTCTGCTATAGCCGTGTCCATCGCTTTTAGGTTGAAGGCCATCGCTTCTAAGCTGGAGGCCATGGCTTCTAGGTTGGAGACCATCCCTATCAGGTTGAAGGCCATGGCTTCTAGGTTGGAGACCATCGCTATTAGGTTGAAGGCCATCGCTTCTAGGTTGGAGACCATCGCTGTAATATAGTGTGCTATTGGTTGTTTTTTTCTTTGTTCTATTTATTTCTATTCATATTTCTTCATTGTTTCTAATAACTTCTTGCTCCTAGTAGTAATGCCAGGAGCCCCTAGTAGCGTCCTTGCTCCTAGTAGCGATGCCCCTTTGCTCCTAGTAGCGTTCTCACGGAGCTGATCTCCTCGCTAGGCCGATGTGTGGAGCTTTGGCTGTGCGGTCTTGGAGATGGCCACGGCGGAGATTTGAAAACGGTTCTTGGGGGGAAAGGGAAGGGCAGTGACGGTTCAAAGCGGTTCAGTTGGGTTTTTGTTGGTTGTTTAGTGTTTTCAATTAATGAATATTGTAAGAGAATAAACAGATACTCAATAGTCAAAAGGGGATTTCGAAGGCAGATTGATTGAACAAATTGGTTTGAGCTATCATAGTGCTCTTGTCAATTAGTTGTGTCATCGCTTTGGTGTGTTTCTTTTCGAGTATGTGTTCAAATGTTTTTCCATAGTGGCCCAACTAATAGTTGCAACAAGAACACATTCCGAAGAAGCCAATCAAGAAGAGCGAAAAAGGAACAACATATGCCACTCTTGGTGCATTTCAGTCGAGTTGGGACACCCAACCATGCCACTCTTGGTGACTTCAGGAGAAACCTTGGGGAAAGGATGCCTTCGAGAACGTGCCCTGGTATGGTCGGAGAAAAGCAACAGCTTGGCAGCTAGTTTCTGGTGCTTAGCATGAAATGACAAATCCAACATACTCCAAAATCTAGGAACCAAATGATTAGTGCGAGTGCTACTTCAAGGAAGCTCCCCCCCGCCCTCAGGCGCGGGGAGCTTCCTTGAAGAAGCCTGATATCTTCCGTCCAGATACTAGAAACGAACTCGTCGCCTTACTTAATTAAGTAGGGAGGCATGCACTAGTCTTGCACCAAAAACGACATGCTCGTTGTCCGGCGCTGTGACGTCAGCCCGATCAGACAGATCGGAATGTCATGTGCAAGGTGATGTATGCCTTGAAGCATATCTCGATGACGGATGCCATTCCTCCTATCCCAGAAATGGATGAGGCCATTGGGTTTGCGTTTGGCCTCCAACCTAGTAGCGATGGCCTTCAGCGGCCTACCTCCCCCTGAAGAATTTTAAGAAAAATCATCAGCTTGGAATGTAAAACAAAAAGCACCTTTTCACTTGGACGCCTGACAGCATTGGGACGCAAAGAACTGGGACAGCAGTGTTTGGTGCAGGTGTCTGATGCTTTCCTCCGAGCATGTGACAAGCTTAACTCAGCAACAGTCCAGAGATCCACAAGTTAGTTGAAGAGATGAGTTGCATTCATATGACTTACAATTGAGCTTTGTTTTGATCGAGATATATCGGGCTGTGCATGCATTCCAATGCATTCCTATGACTTTCACGCCACACAAGTGCAGGAAACAATCAGTTACTGGTCCGGCTGTCCGGCGGATCTCATCCCAAGTACGGCACACCTCGTTCTTCGTCCTAGTCGCGTCCTTGCTCCTAGTAGCGATGCCCTTTGTTTCTAGTAGCGTTCTTGTTCCTAGTAGAAAGGCCAGGAGCCCCTAGTAGCGTCGTTTCTCCTCGTTCTTCGTATCAAAAACCTCAGTTTCGCTTGCTCCAGGTCTGCAACGGGTGCCTAAGAAGCGCCCCAGCTCCGCGGAGCTGCTCAAGCATCCCTGGACGCTTGGAGGATGGGGGAACTCGAGGCTTGCAGTAACAAAGGGCATCGCTACTAGGAGCAAGGACGCTACTAGGGGCTCCTGGCCTTACTACTAGGAGCAAATAGCTACTAGTAACAAATAGGATGGGGTGTGGAGGCCAGGAAGAACTGGGAGTCGTTTTGGGAGAACATTAATAGCGGCCTTAGGTGGCCTATTCTGTCCTTTGAAAGGGATGTCCAATTGAGGCCTACCTATTTTCATACACCATGCGGGTTGCAGCTGTGTAGAGATGTTATATTTCTGCTGAACATGTTGCAAAACAGCCGGAGGTGAAAAGGAAGTGAAAGAAAGCAAAAGAGGTTCGGTGCACACCGACTCGGCCAAGGTTCGATACCTGAATTCTTTAAGTGCATAGAAGTCATCGACCACGATGGTTTCTTGCCCGTCTTATATAGACGTCTTTTGCACGTGGAGATTTCTCTCAAATCCTTGCCAGCGCACAATGGTCAGCCACCCTCTGGTGCGTGGGGTGGGGGGCCCTTGCCTAGCAAACGGCTGGCAAAGAGTTCGCACCACATTGTAAAGATTTTTGAATCGGTTTGCCCAAGGACCTGAAGGACTTGGAAACAAACCAGCAAAAAATTAGGATTAGGCAGTCACCAAGCCGAGCACTCCTCTCGGCCCCGCAGCTGCGCACACAAACTGCCACACTCCGTGAATCTGACGTAGCGTCCTTGCTCCTAGTAGCGATGCCAGGAGCCCCTGGTAGCGTATTTGCTCCTAGTAGTAAGGCCAGGAGCCCCTAGTAGCTTCTTGAATCTGACATGTTTATCATGTGTCTTGTGTGCTCAATAAGCACAGCCATCGATTGCTTCTTTGTCACTGTTGGAGTTCATCTGAGCGGCGAGGGTTGGAAACAGCCGGCCAGGTTGTCATACAAAGCTTTAGGTGCCCATTGGTACTCATCCTTATGGAGTTGCCAAATGCCATGTTTGGTGATCGCTACTAGGTTGGAGGCTGCTCTTAGGTTGAAGAAACATCAAGATCCTGTGTGCAACTTTGCTTAGAAGCAAGTAGAAACAAGTGCCACGCTACTAGGAGCAAGTGCCTTACTAGTAGTAACAATGTTTGCTATTAGGAACAATAAGCTA